TGCTGAATGGAAATAGTTTTAATTAAACATTACTAACCCTTTTGGTTTAATCCCTGGAGCTGACCTATAAAACACTAGAGGTTTTACATCAAACTGTAAAAATCCTCAAAGCCGAAAGTTAAAGTGATAGCCACAGGGTGGGGAAAAACAATGAAGGATTTACAAACTAGGTCTAGTAAACCAGTAATGCTTTATACAATACAGAGCTATATATCTATTATATATAATTATATATACATATATAATCTTTAAAATTATTCATTGGGGGAAAGGTAATGGTGGTTTATCAAATATATTTTCAATATTTTAAAGGCATTAGATTCTCTATAGCAACCACTTTTTTTTCTCTCTAAAGACTCATTGGTATGTCAAACAGGAATGAGAGGACCTGCAGATTTATAATTTAACTTGGAAGAAAATGACGAGAGAAATATTATTTTATGAATTCCACTGGTAATAAAATTCCATTGTACTGTTTGATTCTGAACTTCATAAGGGCGGCTTGCCTCCCGCACTCCCTGCAATAATAACTATATAGATAAATAAATAAGTGAAACCAAAGCAAAACCAAACCACTCTCCAATTCTTTAGGCAATGCTTCATAAACGTTTCCCATCCAAGAGCCCCTAATGAAAGAGAAGATTGAACACGCTCCCCAAGGGATCTGCGGCAAGTGTGAAATTTCTTTGAAGTCATCTGTTTTATTTTAAAAATTCATGTGAATTTTGCATTCCACTCCATAATATATATCTGTGTTAATGTAAAATGATGTGTTTTCTCCCAATATCTTTGAGTTACTGAGCTCTAGGAAAATATGCTAAGTTTATACCATAGCTTTGCGTCGTCCAAGATGCACACAATTTTAGAAGGTTAACCTAACAAGGAATGAAGGCAATTTATAAAATACGTTTTTCCATGAATCCCACGTATTTCTTACTTTCAGTTTTCTTTTCACTTCAAGGTAATTTTTTTTTCTTTGTCAGTTAATTTGAGGTCTATAACTTTAGTACTGAGCTGAAATACATTTATTTGCTATAGCAGACAGAAAAGATCCTTATTCTATCAAAATAGGTACTTGGGTTTTAATAATCAAAAAACACAGAAGGGGGGAGGGATACATTAGGATTATGGGATTAATAGATACACACTATTATATATACAATAGATAGGCAACAAGGATTTACTATATAGCACAGGGAACTATATTCAATAGCTTGTAATAACCTATAATGGAAAAGAATCTGAAAAATGATATAGGTATATATAACTGAATCACTTTGCTGTACACCTGAAACTAACACAATATTGTTAATCAACTATACTTCAAAAATAAAAATAAAAAATAAAGAGAGAATTTTCAAAGGTATAAGAAAAAAACAAAAACAAAAGAAGATATTAGTAATCATACAATTATTCTTGAAATATGAGTTATATAACTGAATTAGTTTCATCTTATCTATATCACTCCAGTTTAAAAAGACAGGTACTTTTTTGTTTTTGTAGGCAATCATTTCACAAGGAGATAGTCCAAAATCATGGAAAATGAATTAATATATACTGTTGATTTATTTTTATGTTTGCTGGTTGGTTGTGAATATAGATATGCTTGCTATATACACAGTACTGGAGGTGACAGAATGTGATTCAAATAGGACTGAAATCTGTATTAAGCAAAAAAGACAAGTTAGACTTAGACACCAAGGAAAAGTATTTAACTATAAATAAGAAGTTAAGTGGCTTGACCTTTCACACCACATTCTGTTTTTTCTTGCAAACTAAATTCACAAGTATTTTGTTCTAAGGCTTTAGTAGCAAAACATTAAAAAAAATTAAGGAAATGGATTCTAAACAGTGATTTGACAAATAATAGTCAATTGTCTTAGAGGACAGGGCAGGTAAGATTTCCAGGCATATGATGCAGCATGAAATCATGCACAGAGACAGAATTATTAGAAAGGAATAAAAATGGCTCAAGAGAAAATACTTCTGAACACATGAGAACTAGAAGGAAATGAAAGGGGGATGCAAGCAGGCAGAATGTACTTAAGAACTTGTTGAGTTGCAAACTCTGAGTCTGAATTTCATAGGGAAATAAAAAGAACTAGTCAAAATAACTTGAGAATGGGGATTGCTGCAGCCCAAACACAAAGATAGGAAGAGGATTGCTGGCAAGTCTTTCGAATACAATGGCAGGAAGACTGCACGAAAGCAGAAATAAGCAAAATACAACAGAGAGGTTTTGCTCTTGAAATGGATAGGAAGAAAGAAGTTGGTGATATCGTAAAAGAAAAATATGAAAGGATTTACCAAAAGCCCAGATGTAGGAAACAAACAAATAGAACTGAGTATAATACATAATTGGCTGAGACTAGAGAAACTATAGGTACCCTTATGATTGTTCTCTTCCAACAAGACAACAGCAACAACTGTAATATTCATTAAATTAAAGGAATTAAAGAAATTTCATTAACTTCATTAAATTCAAGAAATATGTTGAGGATGTGATCAACAATACCAGACCGGCAGAGATGATCACTGAGCAATATTACACAAACGACTTTCTGGGTTTTATAGACACACTTTTTTTCTCCTTCAACGGACACTAACAGGTTTATATGGTTTGTAATAAACTCGGGAAACGTATATGCTTTTGAGTCCTTACTGAAAGTCCTCAGAGTTATAGAGAAGCAGAATTACTATAGTGCAGTTTCAAATATAAGATTTATGGCCTACTCTTCTTATCCAAGAGGAAAAATGTACTTCTCTACATACATCGCCTCACTTTCAAAAAATGTTTCCTTGACCCTTCCTCCTTTCTTTCACTTTTCAACTTCTTCTAAAAGTAGACAATACTTAGTAACCAGCAAAGCTAATCCGTTCGAATTAAAGTCTTGGAGACATTTTTGTTCCTCCTCTCCTGTTCTTCACTGGTGCCAGGTTCTGCCCATTCTAGTCCTTCAATGATGCCCTGCTACCTACCTCATCAAGATCAGACTGCTTAGCATGACACTGAAGTCTCTGAAATGGCTACCTTACTGCTTCAGCCTGATAGTCAATGACTCTTTCACCATCCTAACACATTCCGCCACTGCGCCTTCTCATATTGTCTGCTCTCTGGACAGCATACCCCTTTTTCATGTCAGTAAAAATCCTATTCTCATGTTTCACCCTGTTGGCCTCCTCTTATCTATCCATTCAAAGCTTCTTTCTCTCTCGTCTAAACCACAGTCCATTATCTTTTCCTGTAGCACTTCTCATATTCATCTTTGTTTTATAAAGTATTTGTGTATATATCTTGTCTTCCCTTCTAGATTTTAAACACATTCAAGCAAGAACTATCTCACGATCATTCTGATATCACCAACAGCCCCAGAGTATGGTTCCTTTGCAAATAATATACACTTAAGTATTTATGAAATGAAAAAATATACTATTTGATCAAAGATATGAAAGCTTCAATAACCTAGAGCGCTAAAAAATAAAGTCGGTCAAAAGCCGGTCATTAAAACACACTATGCTGTCAAATATAAGCTAATGGAAACTATCTTCCTGCTTTTCTTATATCAGTAACCAAATAAAAATTACGATTAATGCTTATAGATTATTTAATCCTACTGTTTAAAATATTTACTTAGACAAGATGTAGTCTCAAAGCAGTTACAAATCAATTACCTTTGCTTGCACTTTCCACATGTTCCAGTTCTTCAGGAAATTTCAGGATATCCCGGTATTTTTCCTCACAAATTTCAGCAATAAAATGCAAGAGGGTTGTCTTTTGATCTGCTGATTTAGTATCTCGGATCTGGAATGGAATAACGACAATAATTTTAGTATTTTTTAATAATATATAGAGAGAGGGCTTCCCTGATGGCGCAGTGGTTGGGAATCTGCCTGCCAATGCAGGGGACGTGGGTTCGAGCCCTGGTCTGGGAAGATCCCACATGCCGCGGAGCAACTAAGCCCGTGAGCCACAACTACTGAGCCTGCGCGTCTGGAGCCTGTGCTCCGCAACGGGAGGGACCGCGACAGTGAGAGGCCCGCGCACCGCGATGAAGAGTGGCCCCCGCTCGCCTCAACTGGAGAAAGCCCTCGCACAGAAACGAAGACCCAACACAGCCACAAATAAATAAATAAATAAATAAATAAATAAATAAATAAATAGATTTATAATAATAATAATAATATAGAGAGAGAGAGACTCTTTTTTAAAAATTATTATTACTTATTTATTTATTTGTGGCTGAGTTGGGTCTCTTCGTTGCTGCACGCAGGCTTTCTCTAGTTCTGGCGAGCGGGGCCACTCTTCCCTGCAGTGCGCAGGCCCCTCATTGCGGTGGCCTCTCCCATTGGGGAGCACGGGCTCTGGGCGCACGGGCCTCAGCAGCTGTGGCCCATGGGCTCCAGAGTGCAGGCTCAGTACTTGTGGCGCACGGGCCCAGTTGCTTCACGGGCATGTGGGATCCTCCCGGACCAGGGATTGAACCCATGTCTCCTGCACTGGCAAGTGGATTCCTAACCACTGCACCACCAGGGAAGCCCGAGAGACTTTTTCTTAAACAAGAGAAATAAATGAATAAATGAACTCAATTCACTGTAACTAATTAAAAAAATTTTTAAATGTCTGGGGTAGTTCCTACTGGGGTCTAGTGACAGTGCTCTGGATTTTAAAATGAACTCCGTATTTTAAAAGAGAGAAAGATGACCGAAAAAAGTAAAAAATTAAACATGAATCCGTATTTCTTAAAATGTCTAGCTTATTATGGCAAAATGAACTATTCTTTTCATGAGAAAAGAACATTCACCTAAGTATTGATAATAATAGTCCAAGTGAATGTGTGTTTATGTTATCAGCATTCTGTTCTTTGCTTTATCACAGAAATATATTCTTGAAAGCTGGATTCGACTGTGAGGTAATATTTATTTCTAGCCATTGCTGATGCAAATGAATGTAAAAGAGCAAGCACATTTTACCCTCGTTTACTTGCATGGGCTATCAAAAAAGAAGAACTGAAGGCTTTTTATGCTGATTTATAAACAGAATCTGACCACACAATTGTGATAATATGTCAAATTTTATTTGCCTGCCTACACATTGTATCTTCTTTACAGAGACACTAGAAAAGGGATGCTGCGGTTAGAATGATAAAAGTCTTTAAAGTATAGGACCAAAAAAACCTATGATGAGAATCTAAGTGTTTTCTTTAATATAACTCTCATACTAGACTAAGCTGCAAATGAAATCAAGGATTTACTTCAAAACAAAGGATGAATATGGTATAAAGTATCAACTCTTCTCATTCTATTGGATGATTTAATTCTATAATCCTTAGATGACGGGTTTGTCCACTGATGTTCATACTGATTTGGGGTTTTCAGCTTTAAGGATTACTGTTTAGAATAAATGAATATTCTTTGCAAATAGGGTTATGAAAAGGCTGTGGAGGATATTTAGGTAATTACAGAGTAATTTAATCCTTATTGTTTTAGTGTCTAAGGAAAAAAAAATCGTATTTAATCAATCAGTCCCATACTTTTTGTGCTACAGCTTTCTAACAACTGTTACGTTCCAATGATATGAACAACTTAAGAGAAATGTTAGTCTTCAGGCTCAAAACAAACAGCCACAGGAAGCATGATGCTGATAACTGAAGTGGCCACAATGATTTCTTTTAGAATTTCTGGGATTACTATTTATCCCATGTAGGTAAAATATTGAAAATTTTGCATTATTATGCTGACCCACCAAACACTTTTAAGTACTACAAGGTTGAAATGACACAATTCAAGAACGAGCTATAAGAACAAAAACCAACAAAAACCTCAAAGGCAACTTGTCTTTGAGGCTTGCAGCTGTAGAAGAATTAATGGGAGGTTCACTTTCCTAAAGAGAAGGCTTTACCCGAGATTGCAGTGTTATATGTTCACAAAGTGCATCCCCTTCAGAGTGTGCTGAATATTCCAAGTAATAAGGAAATAAACATTTTCTTTTTTTCTTACAAATTAATTGAATTCCTAAATCCTAAAATCCTAAAAACATTAGGAGCTTAGGGAAATTGAAGGCATATCTTCCTAAAGGAAAGGCAATTGATCTATATTTTGTGAATTCTATGGAAACAAATTATTTACACATACACATACACACACACACACCAACAACAAAAACCCACCCAATTTTTTAGGACACTAAATTGCACAAGTATATCATAATTTATTTTTAAATGCACATGGCGAATACAAGAAAGGAAAACACAAAAATAGAAAAATAGCACTGTGCTCATATGGCAATCTTCTGGGTGATTTAAAAATTTCCTTTTTGACATGCATGCTTATAAGTGCTTAATTTTCAGAAACTGTATTTGATAAATATTTATCCAGAAGGAGGGCCATAAATTTAATTCCTGTTAAAAAATTTAGTAGAGTCAATGGTTACATTTTTAAAAGAGAAACAATATATAAAATTTATATCATTAACTATTAAATATCTTTGTCGAAATCAGAAAGAGTGGTAGACAGAGTATGCATGTATTTTTTTAGAACTGTAACATTCCCTTCAAAGCAGGGACAAAGATGGCCAAGTGCCTATCCTGTCAAGCTGAGAAATATCTTGGTATGGTAGACAAACTGCTAAATTTGTATTGCAATATTTATTTTTTACATAACCTTAACACCAGGAGTTCATCTTAAGGTTTCAAACTGGCAGGGATTATGTGGTCTTTTAAATTTTTCTTTATGTGCATGACACTTAGACCAATCATTTAAAAATGAATATATATATATTATATATATATTTAATATATATATAAAGGGAATTCCCTGGCAGTCCAGTGCTTAGGACTAGGCACTTTCACTGCTGTGGGCCCGGGTTTGATCCCTGGTCGGGGAACTAAGGTTCCGCAAGCCGTGCAGCGCGGTCAAAAACAAATGAATATATAATATTAAAATATAAAGGCAAAGCATTTTTACTTATTAAAGTATATTTACTTTGTATTATCATGTCTTCAGTCTCTCTTACCACATCTACATGATCCACACATTAGCCATCATCTCTCTCAGGACCTATTGTGTGGTTCGGTGTCAAGTACAGAAGGCAATTAAGAACATTCACCTTCATCACTTCTAATGGCTAATGGCATTTATGCAATAATTTGCCCTTCCAAGTGTACTAGCTGGATATAGACATCTCTTGGGTTAGTACAAAGGTAATCTAATCTGAGTATGTTCAGAATCACTTCCAAAGTGTTCGGGTTAGTTTATTAAGAATTAAAATTGTCTGCCCTTCGATATCGGGTTAACTCAAAATTATGTTATTTTTACATTAACATCAAATATTCCAATAATACTTGTCCAGATTGCCAGAGTCTCACTGGTAGCTATTCCGTAAGCATTTCAAGGTTCACTCCAGCCAGGAGCCAAGTGCCATTTTGCATCGTAGACTGTGCTTTCCCTCTCACCAGCTAGGCAGGGGTATGAGATAGATATAGGACTTCTCTTTATAACATGCAAAAGGATGAACAAAATGGTCACCCTATAATCCTCTGTCTTGTATATATTTTCAAACAATAAAAACACAAACAGTAGTTCCAGAAATTGGAATTATTTGAAAAACTAACATTTTATAATATTTTAATAAGGTGAGTTATTAACGAATGATAACAAAAAAAAGAGTAATTCACTATATTCACTGATAAAGTGCCATCAGTTAATAAACCATACAGCGATTTTATTTATAATCCTCTGACCAATAAATGTTACACATAAAGATTAATAACTGAATTTATACTAACTGTATCTAGCTAATCTTTAATAACTTTCTGAAATGGTAAATGAATACGAAATACCTTTAACAAATTAACACCTATTTCTCTAGCAAATTCTGATCATTTCTTTTTTTCTAATAAACAGGAGTGCTATATTATGAAAGATAATATTTATATGTGATGTGTTCAAATACATTTCCAAAACTTCAGTTAGGCAGATAGCAAAATATCTGAATAACTAATTGCCTTGTAAAAGATTTTCATAAAATCTTTCACTCAAGCCTGAAAACCTGCAGTCTCTACCCTGTTTTTGAAATCAGGCGGTTTGAAGACACAGAAGCCAGCACACAGCCAGAGAGCCTGAGCAAACAACATTTTAATCACCTACGTCAGTCACACACAATCTTTCTTTGAAGGACCCCTTCTATAGGTAATTTTCCCTTCTACTGAGATCTTAAGCCTATTTCTTCTTGCTCTGTCATCAGTGGAAACTGAAAATAACTGGTTGCTATCCTCTGTATAACCACCTCTCAGAGAGTGAAAGCTCCCTTCTCAGGTGTCCTGTTCTCTTAAACCAAACAATTTCAGTTCATTTAACCTCGCCACACAGAAGTTAGTTTTCAAATGTTTAATTTTGTTAGGATGATTAGAACCTATTCAAAGTTTCCACTGCAAAGTCTCCCTTCAGCTACTAGAAAAGCACACAAACTTCTTGGTTTCACATTTAAGGCCCTTTTAGAGCTGGCCCTTGCCTACCTTTCTAATGTGTCCCCTGCTGCTTCCTGGTGCCTACCCTTCACTTCAGTCTGATTACAACTGCTTGAACATACCATGCAATGTCATACCACTGTGCTTTTGTACATCTTGCTCTCTCTCTAGACCCTCCTCTTTTTTTTTTTTTTCTAGCTGCCAAGTGAATACCTACTCAAATTTCAAGACTACTCAACTACCCCCTCCTTTCTGAAGACTCCTCTAAGGAGTAATTGATGCCTTCCTTTGCCATATTCTTTCACTATAAACATTTCAACACAGTAGTTTCTTCCAG